TCAAAGGGAGCGAATCGATTACGCGGAGACATTTTCTCCTGTATCTAAAAAAGATTCTTTTCGTATCATTTTGGCATTGGTTGCCCATTTTGACATAGAATTGCATCAAATGGATGTGAAAATGGCGTTCCTCAACGGAGAACTAGAGGATGAGGTTTATATGAAACAACTAGAAGGGTTCTCCTCTAGTAATGGTGAGCATTTGGTGTGCAAGCTTAAGAAATCTATATATGGCTTGAAACAAGCATCCTGCCAATGGTACTTAAGGTTCCATGATGTCATCTCCTCATTCGGTTTTGTTGAGAATGTCAAAAAAAATGTATATACTAGAAGGTTAGTGGGAGCAAAATTTGTTTCCTTGTACTGCATGTGGATGATATTTTACTTGCAACCAATGATAAGGGGTTTTTACATGAGGTGAAACAATTCCTCTCTAAGAATTTTGACATGAAGGATATGAGTGAGGCATCTTATGTCATTGGCATTAAGATCCATATGAATAGGCCTCCAGGCATTTTAGGATTGTCTCAAGAAACCTATATCAATAAAGTCTTAGAGAGATTTCGGATGAAAGATTATTCACCAAGTATAGCACCTATTGTGAAGGGTGACAGGTTCAATTTGAACCAATGCTCGAAGAACAATCTCGAAAGGGAACAAATGAATAACATCCCATATGGTTTTGCTGTCGAAAGCTTGATGTATGCTCAGGTTTGCACTCGACCTAACATTGCTTTTGCTGTGGGAATGTTGGGAAGATATCAGAGTGATTCAGGTATGGACCACTGGAGAGCTGCAAAGAAGGTAATGAGGTACCTTCAAGGTACAAAAGATTATATGCTTATGTATAGACGAACTGACAACTTAGAGGTAGTTGGTTATTTGGATTCGGATTTCGCTGGTTGCGTTGATTCTCGAAAATCAACATCTGGATACATTTTTATGTTAGATGGCGGAGCAATATCCTGGAGGAGTGCGAAGCAGACTTTGGTTGCTACTTCCACTATGGAGGCTGAGTTCGTTTCCTGTTTTGAGGCTACCTCACATAGTGTGTGGTTGAAGAGTTTTATATCAGGACTTAGAGTTGTTGATTCCATTGCTAAGCCATTAAGGATATTTTGTAACAATTCAGCTGCTGTTTTCATGGCTAAAAACCACGAAAGTGGTAATCGAAGCAAACACATCGATATTAAGTATTTAGCCATAAGGGAATATGTTAAAGAGAACAAAGTAGTCATTGAACACGTTAGCACTGAATTGATGTTAACTGATCCTTTAACTAAAGGCATGCCACCAATGAGTTATAAGGATCATGTGCTTAGGATGGGAATTGATCCTATTATGTAAAATTTCTTCGTATGGACGAATTTGTGAAACTCTTATTCATTGTGATGTTATTCTCAATTATGGTGTACATATTCAGTTATTTTGAGAATAACAATCGTTTTTTACCTAGAATAAACATAAGGTTTATTCATTAAGTTATGTTATCACATATGGGCTGATGAGACGCATTGTGATACATGGAAGATAATACTCGTTATAAGAGGACTTATCGCCATGATTCATGTGTTTTATTTTCAGCATGAAGTTTTTTTGTTTGGTTCAATATTTCGTTTGATGAAATGTTGGGATCAAGTGGGAGAATGTTATAATTATATTATCTATAATGTGATCTCACATTTAGTTTATTATTGCCCACATTAATTACTTTCGTCGATGTTTATTGAGCGCATTTAAATACGTGATAACTATGATCGCCCAATATTAAGATAACTATCTTGATGGGAGAAGTTATCTATAAGGATATGAATTGGGATATAAATAGGTCATCTAAGCCAAATCCTCTCATAATTTTTAAGATCGATCTCTCATTCATTTATCTGAGATATCGAAAAACACATTATCGACGTTGAGAGGGCTTGGCTAGAAGTATCTATCGATGATCGTCAAAGCTCCGCATATTAGGTTCTCGATTTCATCAATGGCTGGAGGTTAGTATAGATTTTTTCACGTTTCCGCACTCGATTCTGATTATGCATGGTTATAGTTTATACATGAATAATCGGAATCTTCAGTCTTCCGCTATAGTTAAATTTCTAACAACATTACCTTCGTATTTTATGCTTGTTGGTTGGTAATCTGATATTTTCTTCGTGTTTATCTCATTAGGATTCTTCTTATTAGGATTCTTGCATTATACTGGTGTGCTGGACCAGCACAGATGCTCTCGCTGTTGTCTGAGTATTAAAATGGAAAGGTTCCGAAATGGTCTAAACCATGAGCTGTAGTTGAAGCTTATGTGCTTCTGAGAGCAATACTAGTATGATCTTAGCAAAGAAGAAGTTATCGGAATATAATTCCATGCATCGCTCTGCGGGCTTCCAAATGTTTTGGTAATTGTTTCGGTAATGTCGTTTTGTGTCATCTCATCACGTGATAACTTGGGAGCGAAACGAATTTCTAGCACATCGTCTCATGGTGCCTTTCTGTTGAGGATCTTCTTAGAAAAGTTGTATTCTTTACTCTGTGATCTATTGTATGCTTGCTTCTCTTGCTTAGCTTCATTTGCTTTTAAGGTGATGCTGATGGCAAAGGAAATGTGAGAAAAGAAGAGCTTTACCAAGCTTGTGTGACTCTCGAGGTGATTTTCAGAACTTGTCCACATTTTGAACTGTCTAATGTGGAATCTTGTATGAAGGTGCCACGCCAACAAGTTAAAGTCGTGGACCATCCAGATATGCAGGTACTACCTGATCAGTGAAGTCTGTCATTGTCTATCTTCATGTCATTAGAAATGTCGGCTTGAGTTATCTTTAACTTTATCCATTATCACTAGGATGGGTTTGGCAACAAATGGAATCATAACTTATTATCCAAGATCATAGAACAGGAAGTCCTTGCTCGTGGCATTCATGCGGTAAGACATTAACTGAAATTAGGCACTTTAATTAATCTTTCTGAAGTCAGATGCTCTTCGCCCCTGTTTCCATATTCGCCTTTGGAAATTTATGCTAGCAGTCGTGAAATTTCTTCATTTGTAGCGTATGCATTGAGTATCTTTATCCACTGTCAAATTGAGAACTCTAGCTGCTCTAGTAACATAGTGAGTGACCTTGCTCATAGGATGATACTCATCAAATGGGCTTCTCAGGTTATCACTTTTGATGACTATGGTGTTTCAGGCCATTGCAACCATCGTGATGTGCATTATGGGGTTCGGTTAGTGAAACGTCTCAGCTACTGTCTGTCCCTATCTGTTGCATCTTATATATTTTCCAGTGATGTCCTTTATGCATGTGAGGTAATTTTAATATGATTAACATTCAACTGTACTAATGCACTGTATAATCTCTCTCCCTCTCTCTCTCTCTGCTTTTCTTAATTCACTTTGTGAATCAACCAGGGTCAATGGCTTATTACTCACCTTATCACATGACATTGGTTTATCCACTGCTAATGAGGGGATTAGCCGCAATTCTTTAACTATGGCGTACCTAAATTGTTTATAAGTAACCTTATTCTTCTTTTCGTGGCATTCTGGTGTGGACAGGAATCTCCTTCAAGAGACGGCACCAAGAGATATCGAGGCCTAGGAACTTGTATGTTTTCTTTCCCTTGCTATGCCTTACCTTTATATTTTCACTATCATGAGCTATGGTCTGAAAGACTATCATTATAAAACAGTTCAACCTTTGGAATTCGGCTTCCTAACTCTTTGACTCTATACTTACTAGTTGTTCTCTCGGTTCAGCACTTCAAATGATAGTTTTTGTCACTTTATTATGGACAATTTTGTTAGTTTGATATGATATCATCGCTCTACGAGATTATAATCCAGCTGCCAAATGTTGAATGATTGTTATATTTTTGTCTTGGATGTGATGTACTGTGCTGTATTTTATGTCAATGTCTTTGATGTTTTGCAGGTAAGTACCAACATCTGACTCTTTGGATTAGTTTGTTGCGTAAACAACGTCAATCTGTGAGAGTAAATGCGCAAAATATCCACATGACAGTTCGAGATAAAGCAACGTTGCTTTAAACGCCATTGTGCAAGGGCCACGGGTGTTGAAAAATGAAAAGCTTCTCTCCCTTCTTGTCATTCTGATTTGCTTTTGGGCGGTTTTTTCTCGGACTCCGTTCGTTCACGTAGAAGAAAGAAGAAGACACGGTGAGACTGAGTTTGGTTGTGGAAGAAGAGGGACAAGAGAAGGAGAGTAAGGGAAGGAAAAATGTCATGCACTTTTTCCATTTATTGTTCAAGGTATTCATGGGTTTTATGAGATTACTATTGCCAAGGTCTGTTTCTTCCCTTCTCAAGACTACACTATAGTTGTCCAGCAATCCAACATGTTTAAATGGCAAAAATGCTCATAAATTTATCTGTTAAATAATGAAATGATGTTTCACGCTGTATTGAAGATTTTCTGAATCATTCAATTGCAGGTTTTTCTCGCCAACTATAAGTTACCTCACTTCAAGGGGACATTACCTTCATATTTTGTGCTTGTCAGTTGGTAATGCGATGTTTTCTTGTTGTTTCTCTCATTAGGATTTTTAATTGATTTCTTGCATTATACTGGTGTGCCGGACCAAGCACAGATGCTCAAACTGTTGTCTAAGTACTAAAATGGAAAGGTTCTGAAATGGTCTAAACCATGAGCTGTGGTTGGAGCTTCTGTGCCTTTGACAGCAATACTAGTACGATCTCAGCGAAAAAGAAGTTGTCGAAATAGAATTTCATGCATTACTTTACACCGTGAGCTCCCAAATGTTTTGGTAACTTTAATATAGCAACACTTTCCACTTGTCATACACTATACAAAAAGATGAACAAAATATATAAATTTCCGTTTGAAAAAAGTAGCCCTATAGCAAATTAAAATAGGCAAATCTCACCACAAATAATTACTAATAGAAAGATACTTCTAAATGTCTAGCAACAATCCTACTTGGACATGAGGGACAATTATTGATCCGATGGACATAGTGTTGCATCAAAAACTTGGTTCAATCCATAGAGGTGGAGATTCGATCCATGGAGGCGGATAAGAATTATAATCAGCCTGTTGATCAAACTCAATTCTTTTATCTTCCATGTAGTATGTTCCTATCCCCCCGAAGCCGGTAAAGTAAACACAGTTTGGCTTGATACCCTGCTTGTTGTCGTCAACACGTACTGAAAAGGAAGAGTTAAAACCCACAAAGAAAGACACTTTCCCCATGCTCTCAAGCTCCTTCCACTCTCTAGTATCTAAATCAACGTCGAAAACCCGGAATCCGGTAATCACACTACTATATCGTTCTGGTCGTGATAATTGTGAGACCAACAACAGACGGCCGGCCGACTCCGCCAAGTACTGATCCTCGCTATGCTTCCAGAGATCTCGAAATTCCAGAGGCATCTCCAGTATAACTTGCGCCGTCGGATCTGGTCCATCCACATCACAAGTGAATATACTGCCACTGGAGTTAACTGCAACAAATTGCCCCCGGTAATATATGACATCCAAAACATCCTTATCCACATACAGGTCGCTATCTTCCAGGTCATCATTATACTTGTTATCATCATACTGGGCCGGGGGAGTCAACGTTTTCCACTCCTCATTGCCTGGTTTCCAAAAGGCTAATGGTCCAGAGGGCCAATAGATGACCATAACTGTATAGTTTGGAGATGAAGCGGGGCTTGCAGACAAGATGAACTTGTCGACTTCCGGTTTACTTATTTCGTCATCCCAACTGGACAGTTTGTTCACGTTAGGGAGCTTAATGATGTCGTCGTCGCGATAGCGCAAGGCACGGGACAGGGGATTCAGCATGTGGACTTCTGAGTCTGTGCCGACGGTCAAGATCCAACCCCGTGAAGAGAAGCACCTCTTCCCCTTCACTTCCGGCAATACAACTTTGTGAATTTGCGAACTGAAGGGGCTGTAGAACTCGGCCCACTTGGTCTCGGTGCACTTATCGTCCTCGAGCATCCACCATGGTAGATCGAACCTCTCTTCGAATGCGGCGGCACGCCACGTCGAGCACACGGATCGGAATGCGAGCCGGTCCTTTAGAAGGAGTTGTGTCGAGCACAGTTGTAGCAGCTCTTGGGGAAGGTCGGCCCAATTCTCCGCCATTGTTGATTCACGTATTGAGAGAAAGCAGAGAGAGAGGAGGCTTGTATGATGGATGTTTCCACAAAGGGGAGAGAATATATATATATATATATATATATATATATATATATATATATATATATATATATATATATATATATATATATATATATATATATATATTTGCCTACTCATAAAAAGATAAGACTCATACCAAATAGGAATCCAAATTCTCTATCTAAAAAATAAAAATAAAAAAGGAAACAGAGTGCTGGTTTGAATTATGGTTATCAGATTACAAGTATCTTTCCGGATATACATTGCTAAAATAGACAAGTGAGAAAGATATATCGTCAAGCCAAAGGAGAAAATCTAATGGTGTGATTTTTGTCGGATTTTGGTACCATGAAGTGGGGAAAATTGCAAACACATGGATATGTATGGTGAAGGTTTGAGTAAAAGTGAGAAAATTATGGAAAACGATGTTTGTTTTAGTAAATTTTTTTTTTGAATAATAGGCTTTTGCTTTTGGATTTATAAAGAAAAATCAATTTAATTGAGATCAAATAGGCTAACATATTTTATAAAAAAAAGAAGAGATCCAATGATTTAGACACGATTTGATTTTTAAGGAAATTCTCGGTTATATGCCGGAAATAACGGTAATTAGCAAAAGGGTACGGCGCTCTAATAATATCTTATCTATGACTAAACTCAAAAGTGTGTTTTGAGGTGCAATACGATCATCTGCTAAAGCGGAGCAATCGCAAGGATACTAAAGGGGCAAAGTCCTAGATTGCGCTTGAAGTAATAAAGATAGAAGTATTCCATCATTGAATTGAACATCACTCATAAAAAGATAGACTCATGCCAAATAGGAATCCAAATTCTCTATTTAAAAAATAAAAATAAAAAAGGAAATAGATTGCTGGTCTGAATTATGGTTATCAGATAACAAGTATCTTTCCAAATATACATTGCTAAAATAGACGAGCGCGGAATATATATCATCAAGCCAAAAGAGAAAATCTAATAGTGTGATTTTTGTCGGATTTTGGTATCATGAAGTGGGGAAAATTGCAAACACATGGACATGTATAGTGAAGGTTTGAGTAAAAGTGAGAAAATTGTTGGAAAAAAAACGTTTGTTTGAGTTTAATTTTTTTTATGGAATAATATGCTTTTGGATTTATAAGAAGATCGATTTAATCTTTTATCGAATAGGTTGACACATTTTATAAAGAAGAAGAAGAAGAGACCCAATGATTTTCATGCTATAAAATTTTACCGATCGGTTCACCTATTTTAGACACAATCAGTTTTTTAAGGAAATTTTTAGTTACACGCGGGAAATAACCTGTAGTTCTCCTTTAAGAGAAACCGAGGCAAGGCCACTGAATAATATATTATGTTCGGTTTAGCCTGTTTAGGTTGAACCGGAGCGGTCGAATAAAAAGACTTGTTTTTCCGGTTTCATTTTTTTTATTTCCAAGTTTTACTGATTTTGACGGAGGAGGGTGTGACAGGCTGGAGTCGTGCCCATGGTAAGCCGTGATTTCCACGAGTGCCTCTCGATGAACGGCGAGGAAGGAGTTGGAGGAGGAGGGGTGTAGTGGAGGGAGCAGATGAGGGGCGGTCGAGCGCGGGAGGATGAGGAGGAGGAGCTCCGACGGAGGCGAGGTGAAGCGGCTGCGGAGGAGGAAGCGAGCCTGCTGACGAGAGCCATTGCAGTCGCAGAGAGAGAGAGAGAGAGAGAGCGAGGGGTTCGATGAATGGAGACGGGAATGTATATAAAGTTCGGAGCTTTTTTGTAGCTCCCGGAACCACACCGTGGGGGGTGGGGGGGGGGGGGTAGTCTTCGATTTACCGAGAAATTATTTCTCATTAAATATAATATGATTCATATATATATATATAAAGATGTTATAGAGCGAGTCATGTGGGGGAGTCGTCGGCTCGTATTTTAAATATGGTTATATTCGCTACGGATTAATAGTCAGTTAAATCATTTTATTTATCTTAAGGACTCTTAATACAAGTAGTATCGGTGATCTCGTTAATGTCATTTTGGGACTTACGATGTCTTGTTTATGTTATTACCTTACGTGATATTCAAAAAGACAAGCGAAGAATTACTACATAACTTTTAATTTTTGCACACCGAGTGCACCGTGAATAAATGGGAGACGAACCAACCGTAATCGAAAGGTTGAAAATCATGTTCGCTAGTTACGACGATATCGGAAGAGAAGAGACATCGAATACAAAAAAACACTGGAGAGATCGAATAGAAAGGCTTGTGTTTTTTCGAGGTTTCATTTTTTTTCATTTCCAAGTTTTACTGATTTTGACGGAGGGCGTGATTCGCTGGAGTCGTGCTGATGGTAAGCCGTGATTTGACGGGCCTACGTGTCTGCTGATGAAGCGGTCGGCTCCTGTCAGATTACACGTGTCGTGAAACTATTGGATACTAACCGAATCGAGCCGAAGCCTCTCAAGCGCGATTGTAGGGGAAGAAACGTCGACAGCTGAACGACGGCGGCTACGGGGAGTTGACTATGGTTTGACCGTGGACAGCCAACAGGGGAGGCTTATATATGGTGCTTTGTCAATTGTTATAGCATTATCATCACAATTTTTTTCTTGTGGAAATTGTCGTATATAGTAAAAATTTCTCGGGCAATTATAATTTATTTATTTGGCATTCAACGATCATCAATTCCAAAAGGTCAATTTTCGGAGAAATTATATGAAAAAAAAGTTCGGCTTTTGAGTTGGACAATCCCAATGTTGATCGTGTGTCGTATTCTTTTCCACTTCTAGGAAATTGGAGATGAGATCCGATTTCGCAAACAAAGAAGCATTTCCCCTTTTTCCAATTTTCCACAAATCAAAGAAGATTTCGTAGAAAATTTGAAATGCCAACAAATTGAACAGTCTTCTTTGTGGCGATAATAGGCTTTCATCAAAATTTCACTTGAGCATTGGCAGAGAAGATAGTGTCCGAAAAATAACGAGATCAAGGTGAAAATGCCCAACCGTTTTAATAAGCTGGTTACATTACAACAGTGCTAGGACCATCCTTTCGTTCCAGAGCGCACGGGCTGTCTTAACTTGGACAAAAAATGAAAATCTGCAAGGCACACGCCCACTTAGCAGAACTGCAGTCGTTCGTGTCGAAATTCTTAGTATGTGATCCAAAACGTAATGCCGTTGCCGAGATGTTGTAGCCGGGCCTCTCGTGTTGCTGATCTTTCTCGGCATTTCGACCTCGGAATCCATTGCTTTGCCGAGGCCCGCCCCCGCCATCTTCGCCTGCGCTTTGCAGCTCGTTGGAGCCCAACCATTAGAAGATGAGCCACGGACTTGTATCCCATTTCCCGAGCTTCGATTGCAAAAGGTTATTCCATCATGAGAACTCAGAGATAAGAGCTGACTTAACAGAGCACAAAAAAGGATCGAATTGCAACTACTTTTGGCTCCAACTCTTGGTTCTTCTACTTCTTCGAGCCAAGGCTGTCGATGATCCAGCTCCAAAGTCAGAAATAAGAAAACTAATGAACCTTCTTCTCAGTAACTTCTCATGTACTTAATCAAAGCTTGACTAAGTTCCAGCATCAACAATTCCATGTGATTACTAAAACTGGCCTTTCAGCGATTTAACAATATAAGACGGCTACTAAGACAAGGTGAAGTATGAACTCCACCGTGCCAAGGACATTGGCCTCCTGCCCATTTATCCTCCACTCAAAATGAGATTCGTGGGAATAACGCGAATGCGTGAAAGCACGAAGCACCTACAGAAATGGCATGAAATTCCAAAAACGGGATCATAGATGCAGCTGCCCCTGCCCTTGCTATTGAACCGTCTGGAAGAAGCACCAGCTGAAAGACGATACTCTGAGCCCCGTAGTTTCGGCAGCGGTTTATTGGCAGGCCTGATGCTTTTACTGTTGCATCCACGCGTGTTTCTCGTGCGTATATGCATGCATGCATGCATGCAGATGGAGGTGCTTCCACCAACCTCAACTAGATTACATGCCACATGAAATTATGCACGCTAGTCTCTTGCATGTCTCATGAATGATTGTTATATTTTTGTCTTGGATGTGATGTACTGTGCTGTATTTTATCTCCATGTCTTTGATGTTTTGCTGGTAAGTACCAACATCTTACTCTTTGGATTAGTTTGTTGTGCAAACAACGTCAATCGATGAGAGTAAATGCGCAAAATATCCACATGACCGTTCGAGATAAAGCAACGTTGCTTTAAACGCCATTGTGCATGGGCCACGGGTGTTGAAAAATGAAAAGCTTCTCTCCCTTCTTGTCATTCTTGGTCAAGCAAGCTATTCAACATCCAGATGCAAAGCCACATGTTCATGATCTGCTTCTATCTCAGGCGCTTTCTTGAAGAGTGCACTTGCCAAGTCTAGCTTTGAGAAGAACGGAGTGTCCCAAGGATTCGGAGATACACCGACCGTAGGAAAAAGGCATGAAAAGAAACGACAACCTAGAATCGCCGGCTATCCTTATTTCGGAAAAGGAACAGAAAGACAACGAAGAAAATCGGACATATGTCCGCTGCCGTGGTTTCTGCCGCCGCAGCACAAACAGAGAGAAAAGAGGAAATAGATCCTCAAGGTCGCTGCTGCTTCGCTGCCGTGGCTTCCGCAGTCACATCCACCCTTATTCACACACACAATCGGAACAGGAACGGAAAAACAACATCATGTAAGCTGAAGAGAAAATCGGACGTATGTCCGCCGCCGTGGTCGCCGCCACAGCCGCACAAACAGAGAGAAAAGAGGAAAACATACTCAAGGCGGTGGCGGCCTCATGCAGCTACTCGTGCGGCTGCTGCGCCGCTGCGGCTTCCTCCGCGGTCGCCTCCGCTGCTGCGGCTTCCTCCGCGGTCGCCTCCGCCGCTGCGGCTTCGTTGATCGTCACTGTTCTGGTTTTGGCGGTTCCTTTGCAGTTCCGGCCGTGGAGGGAGCGGTGCTCCTCGAGCTCCGCCTTCCGGTTGAAGGCGGAGCCGCAGAGGCGGCACTTCTCGTCGCTCCTGCGGTGGACGTCCTTGTTATGCTGGACAAGCCCATTCACGGTGAAGAGCAGCCCGCAGTTAGGATGGTGACACCGCTGCTTGGCTTCCATCGGGAGGGAGGAGTAGGAGGAAGGAAGGAGAGGGTGGAGGGGAGGAGTGAGAAAGGAATGAGAGAGAGAGGGTGGGTGTTTGTTTTTGCGCGTCGTGGTATTTATAGTCCCGACGCGTGGAGGAGGAGGAGGAGGAGGAGGAGGGAAAGTGGCGGGATTTCGAAAAGCGAAGATGGGGAAAAAAGAAAAAGAAAAAAGAAATGGGTTTTTATGATCCCCGGGCGTAAGCGCAGAAAGAGAGAGAGTGTGTGTGTGAGAGAGAGGGGTGGAGGAGGAGGAGATTCTCCACCGGGGATCGGCACGTCGGGTCGAGTGCTTGACCTCTGACCCACGGCCTCCGTCGGACTCGGACCCTCCGTCGACGGCCACCGTCCGTCCCACTTCGCCTCCTGCGGTGTCCCAAGGACCGAGCGGTGCCTCGAGCTCCGCCTTGGACCGGAAGGTAGAGCCGCGATGGCCAGATTTCTCCTTGCTCTTGCGGTGGACGGTCCTTTTATGATCGGCAAGCCCATTCACGGTGAAGACCATCCCGCAGTTGGGATGGGAACACCGCCGCATGGCTTCGGGAGGGAGGAGTTCGAGGAAGGAAGGAGAGGGTGAGAGAGGAAAGAGAGAGAGAGAGAGAGAGGGGTGTTGTTTTTTGTGCGTCCCACTTCGCCTGCGGTGTCTGAGGAACCGGAGTTGTTGGAGCTGGTAAACCTTGGTAGTTTGATTGGGATGGTCGGCCCCTCGTGTTTCGAATTTTTGGGCAATTTTTCTGTCGTTATTGCTGTCCCCACCTAGTCGGAGTTAGCTCCTCCTTCTGCTTCGGCTTTGCCAGAAGTCCTGGAACGAAACGAAGGAGCCCCTTTCTTGTTGAGTGGGATGTGCTTGTGTTTAGCTCTTGTTGGGTTTACTAATTTCGATGCCAATTTGCTAGCTCTGAGCTGGATTACTTCTTAATGTTAATGGAATCCTTTGCAGTCGCCACACTGTATTGAAGATTTTCTGGGTCGTTCTCGCCATCTATTAGTTACCTCACTTCAAGGGGACATTACCTTCGTATTTTATGCTCGTCGGTTGGTAATGTGACATTCTCTTCGTGTTCATCTCATGAGGATTCTTCTTAATTGATTTCTTGCATTATACTGGTGTGCCAGACCAGCACAGATGCTCTCGCTGTTGTCTGAGGATTAAAATGGAAAGGTTCCGAAATGGTCTAAACCATGAGCTGTAGTTGAAGCTTATGTGCTTCTGAGAGCAATACTAGTATGATCTTAGCAAAGAAGAAGTTATCGGAATATAATTCCATGCATCGCACTGCGGGCTTCCAAATGTTTTGGTAATTGTTTCGGTAATGTCGTTTTGTGTCATCTCATCACGTGATAACTTGGGAGCGAAAGGAATTTCTAGCACATCGTCTCATGTCGCCTTTCTGTCGAGGATCTTCTTAGAAAAGTTGTATTCTTTACTCTCTGATCTGTTGTGCGCTTGCTTCTCTTGCTTAGCTTCTTCATTTGCTTTTAAGGTGATGCTGATGGCAAAGGAAATGTGAGAAAAGAAGTGCTCTACCAAGCTTGTGTGACTCTCGGGGTGATTTTCAGAACTCGTCCATCATTTTGTCCACATTTTGAATTGTCTAATGTGGAATCTTGTATGAAGATGCCACGCCAACAAGTTAAAGTCGTGGACCATCCAGATTTGGGGGTACAACCTGATCAGTGAAGTCTATTATTGTCTATCTTCATGTCATTAGAAATGTCGGCTTGAGTTATCTTTAACTTTATCTATTATCACCAGGATGGTTTTGGCAACAAATGGAATCGTAACTTATTATCCAAGATCATAGAACAGGAAGTCCTTGCTCGTGGCATTCACGCGGTAAGATATTGACTGAAATTAGGCACTTTAATTAATCTTTCTGAAGTCAGATGCTCTCCGCCCCCGTTTCCATATTCGCCTTTGGTAATTTATGCTAGCAGTCATGAAATTTCTTCATTTGTGGTGTATGCATTGAGTATCTTTATCCACTATGTCAAATTGAGAACTCTAGCTGCTCTAGTAACATAGTGAGTGACCTTGCTCGTAGGATGATACTCATCAAATGGGCTTCTCACGTTATCACTTTTGATGACTATGGTGTTTCAGGCCATTGCAACCATCGTGATGTGCATTATGGGGTTCGGTTAGTGAAACGTCGCAGCTACTGTCTTTCCCTATCTGTTGCATCTTATATATTTTCCAGTGATGTACTTTATGCATGTGAGGTATCTTTAATATGATTAGCATTCAACTGTACTAATGCACTGTATTCTCTCTCTCTCTCTCTCTCTCTCTCTCTCTCTCTCTCTCTCTCTCCTTTTCTTAATGCACTTTGTGAATCAAACATGGTCAGTGGCTTATCACTCACCTTGTCACATGACATTGGTTTATCCACTGCTAATGAGGGGATTGATCTGTTCCAGCCGCAATTCTTTAACTATGGCGTACCTAAATTGTTTATAAGCAACCTTATTCTTCTTTTCGTGGCGTTCTGGTGTGGACAGGAATCTCCTTCAAGAGACGGCACCAAGAGGTATCGATGCCTGGGAACTTGTATGTTTTCTTTCCCTTGCTATGCCTTACCTTTATATTTTCACTATCATGAGCTATGGTCTGAAAGACTATCGTTATAAAACAGTTCAACCTTTGGAATTCGGCTTCCTAACTCTTTGACTCTATACTTACTAGTTGTTCTCTCGGTTCAGCACTTCAAATGATAGTTCTTGTCACTTTATTATGGACAATTTTGTTAGTTTGATATGATATCATCGCTCTGCGAGATTATAATCCAGCTGCCAAATGTTGAATGATTGTTATATTTTTGTCTTGGATGTGATGTACTGTGCTGTATTTTATCTCCATGTCTTTGATGTTTTGCAGGTAAGTACCAACATCTTACTCTTTGGATTAGTTTGTTGTGCAAACAACGTCAATCGGGGAGAGTAAATGCGCAAAATATCCACATGACCGTTCGAGATAAAGCAACGTTGCTTTAAACGCCATTGTGCATGGGCCACGGGTGTTGAAAAATGAAAAGCTTCTCTCCCTTCTTGTCATTCTTATTTGCTTTTGGGCGGTTTTATCTCGGACTCCGTTCGTTCACGCAGAAGAAAGAAGAAGACACGGTGAGACTGAGTTTGGTTGTGGAAGAAGAGGGACAAGAGAAGGAGAGTAAGGGAAGGAAAAATGTCATGCACATTTTCCATTTATTGTTCAAGGTATTCATGGGTTTTATGAGATTACTATTGCCAAGGTCTGTTTCTTTCCTTCTCAAGACTACACTATAGTTGTCCAGCAATCCAACATGTTTAAACGGCAAAAATGCTCATAAATTTATCTGTTGAATAATGAAATGATGTTTCACGCTGTATTGAAGATTTTCTGAATCATTCAATTGCAGGTTTTTCTCGCCAACTATAAGTTACCTCACTTCAAGGGGACATTACCTTCATATTTTGTGCTTGTCAGTTGGTAATGCGATGTTTTCTTGTTGTTTCTCTCATTAGGATTCTTAATTGATTTCTTGCATTATACTGGTGTGCCGGACCAAGCACAGATGCTCAAACTGTTGTCTAAGTACTAAAATGGAAAGGTTCTGAAATGGTCTAAACCATGAGCTGTGGTTGGAGCTTCTGTGCCTTTGACAGCAATACTAGTACGATCTCAGCGAAAAAGAAGTTGTCGAAATAGAATTTCATGCATTACTTTACACCGTGAGCTCCCAAATGTTTTGGTAACTTTAATATAGCAACACTTTCCACTTGTCATACACTATACAAAAAGATGAACAAAATATATAAATTTCCGTTTGAAAAAACTAGCCCTATAGCAACATAAAATAGGCAAATCTCACCACAAATAATTACTAATAGAAAGATACTTCTAAATGTCTAGCAACAATCCTACTTGGACATGAGGGACAATTATTGATCCGATCGACATAGTGCTGCATCAAAAACTTGGTTCAATCCATAGAGGTGGAGATTCGATCCATCGAGGCGGATAAGAATTATAATCAACCTGTTGATCAAACTCAATTCTTTTATCTTCCATGTAGTATGTTCCTATCTCCCCGAAGCCGGTAAAGTAAACACAGTTTGGCTTGATACCGTGCTTGTTGTCATCAACACGTACTGAAAAGGAAGAGTTAAAACCCACAAAGAGGGACACGTTCCCCATGCTCTCAAGTTCCGTCCACTCTCTAGTATCTAAATCAACGTCGAAAACCCGGAATCCGGTAATCACACTACTATATCGTTCTGGTCGTGATAATTGTGAGACCAACAACAGACGGCCGGCCGACTCCACCAAGTACTGATCCTCGCTATGCTTCCAGAGATCTCGAAATTCCAGAGGCATCTCCAGTATAACTTGCGCCGTCGGATCTGGTCCATCCACATCACATGTGAATATACTGCCACTGGAGTTAACTGCAACAAATTGCCCCCGGTGATATATGACATCCAAAACATTGTTATCCACATACAGGTCACCATCTTCCAGGTCATCATTATACTTGTTATCATCATACTGGGCCGGGGGAGTCAACGTTTTCCACTCCTCATTGCCTGGTTTCCAAAAGGCTAATGGTCCAGAGGGCCAATAGATGACCATAACTGTATAGTTTGGAGATGAAGCGGGGCTTGCAGACAAGATGAACTTGTCGACTTCCGGTTTACTTATTTCGTCTTCCCAACTGGACAGTTTGTTCACATTAGGGAGCTTAATGATGTCGTCGTCGCGATAGCGCAAGGCACGGGACAGGGGATTCAGCATGTGGACTTCCGAATCTGTGCCGACGGTCAAGATCCAACCCCGTGAAGAGAAGCACCTCTTCCCCTTCACTTCCGGCAATACAACTTTGTGAATTTGCGAACTGAAGGGGCTGTAGAACTCAGCCCACTTGGTCTCGGTGCACCTATCGTCCTCGAGCATCCACCATGGTAGATCGAACCTCTCTTCGACCGCAGCGGCACGCCACGTCGAGCACACGGATCGGAATGCGAGCCGGTCCTTTAGAAGGAGTTGTCTCGAGCACAGTTGTAGCAGCTCTTGGGGAAGGTCGGCCCAATTCTCCGCCATTGTTGATTCACGTATTGAGAGAAAGCAGAGAGAGAGGAGGCTTGTATGATGGATGTTTCCACAAAGGGGAGAGAATATATATATTTGCCTACTCATAAAAAGATAGACTCATACCAAATAGGAATCCAAATTCTCTATTTAAAAAATAAAAATAAAAAAGGAAACAGAGTGCTGGTTTGAATTATGCTTATCAGATAACAAGTATCTTTCCAGATATACAATGCTAAAATAGGCAAGCGAGAAAGATATCGTCAAGCCAAAAGAGAAAATCTAATAGTGTGATTTTTGTCGGATTTTGGTATCATGAAGTGGTGAAAATTGCAAACACATGGATATGTATGGTGAAGGTTTGAGTAAAAGTGAGAATATTATGGAAAACAATGTTTGTTTTAGTAAATTTTTTTTTTGAATAATAGGCTTTTGGATTTATAAAGAAAAATAAATTTAATTGAGATCAAATAGGCTAACATATTTTATAAAAAAAAAGAAGAGATCCAATGATTTAGACACGATTTGATTTTTAAGGAAATTCTCGGTTATATGCCGGAAATAACGGTAATTAGCAAAAAGGTACGGCGCTCTAATAATATCTTATCTATGACTAAACTCAAAAGTGTGTTTTGAGGTGCAATACGATCATCTGCTAAAGCGGAGCAATCGCAAGGATACTAAAGGGGCAAAGTCCTAGATTGCGCCTTAAGTAATAAAGATAGAAGTATTCTGTCATTGAATCGAACATCACTCATAAAAAGATAGACTCATACCAAATAGGAATCCAAATTCTCTATTTAAAAAATAAAAATAAAAAAGGAAACATATTGCTGGTCTGAATTATGGTTATCAGATAACAAGTATCTTTCCAGATATACATTGCTAAAATAGACGAGTGCGGAATATATATCATCAAGCCAAAAGAGAAAATCTAATAGTGTGATTTTTGTCGGATTTTGGTATCATGAAGTGGGGAAAATTGCAAACACATGGACATGTATAGTGAAGGTTTGAGTAAAAGTGAGAAAATTGTTGGAAAAAAAACGTTTGTTTGAGTTTAATTATTTTTATGGAATAATATGCTTTTGGATTTATAAGAAAATCGATTTAATCTTTTATCGAATAGGTTGACACATTTTTAAAAAAAAAGAAGAAGAAGAAGAAGAAGAGACTCAAACAAACGTTTTCTCAGGTTTCATTTTTTTTTATTTCCAAGCTTTACTGATTTTGACGGAGGAGGGTGTGATAGGCTAGAGTCGTGCCCATGGTAAGCCGTGATTTGACGGACCTACGTGTCTGCTGATGAAGCGGCAGGCTCCTGTCTTAGTACACATGTCGCGGAAGTATTGGGCCATTGCGGCTGGACAGCTGAACGATGGCTGCTGCGGAGAAGTAGATTGCGGTTTGACCATGGAAAAAACTTGTGAATTGTTATTGCAAATTATCATCAATTTTTTTTTGGTGGAAAGCTGAAATTTCGTTACGCATTTATAATTTATTGATTTGCGATTCGACAATCATCAATTCCGAAAGGTCGATTTCCGAAGAGGTTATATATAAAAAAAAAAGAAGTTGGCTTTTGAGTTGGACAATTCCGATTTTGATTTCGAGCCATATTCTTTTTCCTTTGAGAAATTATAGAAGATATTCGATTTCGCGAACAAAGAAACATTCCCCCTTTCCCCATTTTCCCACAAATCGAAAAAAGATTTCGTAGAAAAATTGAATTGCCAACAAATTGACAGTCATCATCGAGCTGATAATAATAGGCTTTCGTCAAAATTTCACTTGAGCATTGAGAAAGGGACTGAGAAGATAGTGTCCAAAAAATAATCAAAATCAAGGTGAAAATGCCCAACGGTTTAATGAAGCTGTGGTTTTACAACAGTGCTAACGGCTGTCTTAACTTGGACGAAAAAGAAATCTGCAAGACACACTTAGCAGAACTGCAGTTGTTTTCGTCGAAAGTCTAGCATGTGATCCAAAACACAATGCCGTTGCCGAGATGTTGTAGCCGGGCTCCTCATGCTGCTGGTCTTTCTCCGCATTTCGACCTCGGAATCCATTGCTTTGGCGATGCCCGCCCCCCGCCATCACCGCCTGCACTTTGCGACTCGTTGGAGCTCATCCATTAGAAGATGCGCCACGGACTTGTATCCCATTTCCCGAGCTTCAATCGCGAAAGGTAATTCCGTCATGAGAACTCAGAGATAAGGGCTGACTTAACAGAGCACAAAAAAGGATCGTCGATGAGCAGGAGAGCAGCTGTCCGTACCTCTGTATACCGCAATTCCTGTCGGTGTCCTGTTTCGCTTCTTCAAGCATATTGAACTTCCGAAACATGAAGGCGATGATGAACTTAGTGTCAATCATAATGAAAGTAATAGACGTGCAGAACCCAAAATTTCGTAGGCGAGAGATTCCAAACTGTCGAGTGAATGACCGATAAAAGTTTACCTATTACATATCCAGTATGGGTTTGATCCAGTTGCTTCAACGCAGTGAGGGCACATCCAATCTTTGTTTTCTCTTACTTCCTCCATCTCTGCAACATAGGGAGAATTTAGCAAAAGATTTGCATGCTTGGCAGCAGTTGGAAAGCTCGGTGCATGAAATTGCCAGCTTTTGGCAGAGCCAACAAAAAGAAACCACAATATCTCCCTTATAATCGCAGTAACAAAACATGGATCTATTCACACATTGTTCCTTTCAGACACAAAAGCTAATAGCCATGATTTTACAGATTCTTTTCCATCGACTTTCCATAGGAGAGCATCTTACCCTCGCCATATCTAACCTTGAGACAAGCACGGCAGAGAACACCGATGGCAGAATGGCAAACTGAACAATCCGTCTTTCCTGCACGAGACATGGAAAACCTTACAAACCATGGGAATTCTTGGCTTTTGAGAATGCGTCAAGTCCTAACTGACCTATACATGGTTCGTCCATGTCAAGATTACCGCATCGTTTGCAATCTTCTTCACCGCACAATTTCTTTTGCCTGCACTTTTTGCAGCTTTTGTTAGAAACTAGTTCTTCACTCAATCATAGAATAATGGCTTCATTGTTTAATTACGCCATTTGCAAGAGGAACTTCATGGTACATTCACTATAACCATGGAAACAATGTGCACATCATGCCAAAAGAGAAGGAAATAATGACAACCACCACCCATGAATTTTTTCAGAAGCATCTGAGATGGATTAGTGAAGCCACAAAATGGTTTATCAATCGCTATCAAATGGAAAATTAGCTGATGATACAGATTAATTGTTCCAGCATTACTTTTCAATTAAATTAACAAAACCAGATAAATAAAAGCCAATCCTTGCTGTATCTTGCAGAATGGGCTTGCTCTAGTAACATAGTGAGTGACCTTGCTCGTAGGATGATACTCATCAAATGGGCTTCTCACGTTATCACTTTTGATGACTATGGTGTTTCAGGCCATTGCAACCATCGTGATGGGCATTATGGGGTTCGGTTAGTGAAACGTCTCAGCTACTGTCTTTCCCTATCTGTTGCATCTTATATAATTTCCAGTGATGTACTTTATGCATGTGAGGTATCTTTAATATGATTAGCATTCAACTGTACTAATGCACTGTATTATCTCTCTCTCTCTCTCTCTCTCTCTCTCTCTCTCTCTCTCTCTCTCTCTCTCTCTCTCTCTCTCTCTCTCTCTCTCTCTCTCTCTCTCTCTCTCTCTCTCTGCTTTTCTTAATGCACTTTGTGAATCAAACATGGTCAGTAGCTTATCACTCACCTTGTCACATGACATTGGTTTATCCACTGCTAATGAGGGGATTGATCTGTTCCAGCCACAATTCTTTAACTATGGCGTACCTAAATTGT